GATCTGATGCATCGTGCGACTCAGATTGCATTCTGCGCTCAGATTTTGAGATAGTGCATTTTCAAAGGTTTTTGATGCATTTCGACATGATGCATTTTCATAGATTAATTTTGTGTAAATTTGGTAACTTCAAGATATTTATTCTTTATTAGGAATCTTTGAATTGCTCTCCAAACACTTGTATATTCTTCAACCACGAGTGATTATATAAGGTAAGGTCGTGATTTTATCTTTGATTATAATGCAAAGCATATATATTACATTTAATAAAATTCAAGGGTAATAAAAACTTAGTCATCTATTATAATATTTCCTTCATTTCAAAAAATAAAAAAATCACTTGCTTTTTTTGTTGATTTGTCCAAAACAAAAATATCAATCTTTTTTTAGAGAAAGCACTAAATAGTGGCATTATTCATTTTTATCTTCATATGTGAAAATTTTAAATTGAGGATTTATTAAAGATACATTCTAAATGAAGCATATATTTGTTTTTGAGAGCAGACATATGTTGATTCCTCACAAGATGATCATGACGATTTTGGTGAAAACTAGAATCTTACCCGTGCGTTGCACGGCAAGTATTTCATTACAGAATGATATTAAAAATATTATAGTATCACTATAAATTGAGAAACACTTCTTTATAAACAATATTAGTAGTAGATTTCATAAAAAAATATCAATATTACATTGCACGCGCACATTGCCTTCAATGCAAAATGAAAATTTGATCTACTATCACTCGTAATTTTTGAAGTTTTAACGTAGAGTTGGTTGTTACCGAATATAGTCTTTAGAAAAACCTAAAGATACCAGGTGTACACCAGCTTCTAAGAGACACGCACAGTGTGTGTCTCTATGTGTCTCTGGTAAACACTTGGGGTACTTCAACTTGGGTACTCCTAGCAAATTAAAACCCAGTCTTTTTCAACAATAGTCCCAAATGTAATTGATCTCGAAAATTTATAATGGCCCAAATCAATATATTAAAGAACTCTTTCTCAATTATATTCCAAGTGATCGATCTTGAAAGTTTTTAATTGTTTAAAAACATTTATAATTGTCTAAATTACTAAATTAAAGAAATTTTTCTTATGAGAACCATTAATAGAATAATATAATTTCTTCAAAAATAATAAAAAAAACACCATTAAATCAACACCATTAAGATGATGCAATCCAGCTCTCCTACTCACCAGTCCCAATGGGTACTGGTTTTCATTCATCCCAGTTACCTCACCTCATCAGCTTCCTTCGTTGAAGTCTCACATCTTCGAAATTTTCTGATTATCAAAACCTTATTATCTGATATTGGAGAGATGCATTAGATGTTTAGCCGGCCTACACGGCCAAATGCTCTCTCTCATGTACTCCAAGGGATGTATTATTTCCATACCAGAGCACACCAGCTCTAACATGGCGGTCCACTTTTAAAACTACTTGTGGATGCCGTATGATAAGACCTGTAGAACATGATGTAATGACTTTTGTATAAATTACGAATTGTGGATTACTTTAATTGATGAGGTACCGGTCAAGAAAGACTCAATAATAACCAATTTAACCTAGATGCAACAAATTTGATGGAAAAAAGATTAAGTTATTTGTACATTAAAATTTGTACCCCAAAAGCATGAGCCGACGTTTTGTGATAGTGTAGTGGTTTACATTGACAAAAAATGTCACTGTAAATATTTTTAAGTGAACTAACATTTTGTGCTAGTGTGAACCATTAGAATGTCAATGCATTTCTTTGGGGTACAATTGAGGTATACTTTTTGGTGTACTCCTAGCATGGTTGATGAAAAAATGATGATTCAATTAAAGGTACTTGGAAAGTTATCTTTTCTAATAGATCTAAATAAAGCAACCATATCATGATCTTTATAGAATATGGAGTATATTCCAAAATAATAGGAAAAAACTACTCCTTGGGGGGGGTACAATTTTTATCAAGATCATAATTTTGAGATCATAAAAAGAATTAAAGATAGCTGTGTATTAATTCCATCATCAATGCCATATAGGCATGCAATGGAAAATTATAACGTTTTATTGAAAAAGAAAAAGATAATAGCCCAGATAGCTTACAAATTCTACAACCCAAAGGCTTACAAAGCCATATCTTAGAAAAAGCAAGCATATCTTTAAAAAAACAATGGGGAAGTGCCACTGCGACAGTGTTCCTGCAAGCAAAGGCCTTGGAAGCCTAAACCTTTTTCGGCACAGAGTTATGCGCTACTGGATATTATTGAGGCCAAAGAAGAGCTATGCGTTGTGAGCTGCTGCTTATCCCCCCATTTATCAAGAGCAATTAAAATATTATCTACTTTAATAAATGTAGGCGGCCGGCGGTTGGGCGAAGTTAATAAGGCGGCCGGAGATGGAGCGTTGACCGTTCTTGCTATAAACAATGGAAGGAGAAGAGTCAGTCAGCCAAATTAACAATTAAGAATATTTCAAAACTCGAAGAGTTGTGAGCCAATGAACGACCGTGATTTATTGGCTGAGGCCATCAACGGTGATAATCAGACCGAAATTTGGGCGGGCAAAATAGATTTATTTATTTTTTAGAAAATATGGATGATTTCTTTTGCTTTTGTATATAGAAAGATGTTACTTTTTGAATTAATATTGTTGCATGGAGTGGTAAGTGAATGTGACTGGAAAATATATTGCAAGTGTTATGGATTGTGCTACGAAGTCAATGTATTACGATTCCATGGTTTGGACGATCCAATGGACTTAGTAGAAGCATGCGGCACATTCTGTGATATCATAGTAAATCCTGAATGTAGTTCTATTTCCATCAATTGCCCATGTGCTGTGGGTGACCCATACTGCCCGTAATGTAGAACTAGTAATGAAAGCCATATAAATTTGAGTAAATTATATAAAAGGTCCCCAGTTATAGGTCGTTTTACATATTTAGTCCCTACATATCAAATATTACTAATTTAGTCCCCAATTATTATATTTATTTCCACGAATGGTCCTTTGTTAACATTTCCGTTAAGAACGTGGATAAAATTGTATATTCATACTTCTCTCTCTCCTCAATTAAGCTTTCTTCATCTTCTCATACTCTTTCCCAAACTCGTCGCTGAGTTTGAAGCTCTTAAACCCAAAATTTAAATGATCGTTCCTCTAGTTAGACAAACAATTGAGAGAAGAGTGATGATTTTGGTTTAGGGTTCAAAGGTAGAAACTCAGCGACGAGTTTGAGAAAGGAGTACAAGGGAGGAGAAAGCTTAATTGAGGAGAGAAAGGAGTGTGAATTTATAATTTTATTCACGTTTTAATGAAAATGTTAACAAAGGACCATTCGTAGAAATAAATATAATAATGGGGGACCAAATTAGTAATATTTGATATGTAGGGACTAAATATGTAAAACGACCTATAACTGGGAACCTTTTATGGAATTTACTCTATAAATTTTCATTACGATGAATTGATGATCTATAGATATATTTATGAATATGTGAATTGAATATATATTCAAAATATGAAAAGAATGCATCAATACGTTTTCTCTGAATATTAGTATGATGTTCCATATATGAATAATCAATATATTGAACATTTGTATTCGATTCATATATTCTATGAATATAATATATATTCAAAATATAAAAATAATCCATCTTGTAACTCGAACACCAACTTCTACCAATACATATTATTGAGCTTGTAATTTATACTCCCTCCGTTCCTTAAAACAGTTCCTGTTTTGACTTGGGAGAGATTTAATTTCACAGTTTGACCTACTAATTATACTCTTATTATTGAAGAAAAAAAGAGAGACAAATCATTTAAGTGACTTATTATATCAATGCAAATTGAATGGAGTATATTGTAAAAACTCAATTTAAATATATTAGTCATTTTTTTACAAAAAAGGAAGTGTTTTTGGGAAAACGAAAAAATAAAAGAGGAATGGTTTTAAGGAACGAAGGGAGTACAACTTTTCATGATATTGTTTCCATTCAATGAATTCCTCCACATTGAGTTTCTTCTTTGTGCGGATCATATCATTTCTATTTAACTAGATAATGTAGTCATTTTTTAATATTTAATGATGAAAATTAAAAAAGTTGACTGTGAAATTTTAAAGATTTTTCTCCGTCCTGATTTTAATATTAATTATATTTTCTCTTTTCTCTCGATAACTTTTGTTTATTTGTGTTCTCATTGATTATTTGATAAAATAAAATATTTTTGTCACATTTTGTTTTGTAAAACTCTTTACGTTATTTTTGTTTGTAATTTTTATTTCTTATTGATGTATCAATTTATAAATAAAATAATTTCAAGTCATAAAATTTTACCTCGTAATTCCTCATTTGTAATCAAAATTAAGACAAATGGAGTCGAAAAGTATGGAATGGAGAGAGTTTTTCTTTGCTCGGTCCTTTCAATTTCTTTCTTTTGCCCAATATCCATTTAATAACTTAAGTCAAGAATGGAAAGCGGCAGAAAGAAATAGTCACATCATTAAAAAGAATGGCACAATGGTCAAATATGTATTTGGTGTCTGTCTCATCAATCTATATAGAGGCAAGTGATGTCTCATGTCATCTTGTACTTCCATTGCCCATCTTACACTTTCCACAGGTTAATTATTGCAGGTTTAAAGCTCCCACCAATAAGGTTACAAAAAGATTTCTACAATTTCTTTTTTTTGACTAAATTATGATAATCTTTAGTTGCGAAATAAAGAAAAAGTATATTTAGTTATAATATAAAGAATAAATCTAAAACAACACCAGTGCTACAAGTGTCATTTTATGTAGGTATTCAACCTGCCACTAGCTACACTTTGATATCTGAAAAGCAAACCAAAGACACTCTGCCAACATGAGGGCAATTCTCACTGCATTTACTATTTTATTTCATTCTAAGTTTATTTTTGGTTCTTTTCTCCTATTTTTTTACTCTTTCATGCTATAAGTTAAAGACTATAATATCAACAATAATCTGGCTTTTAAATAGCTCAATCTCTATAGTGTGTGGCACACATGCGTATCTTTTGCTTTGAGTACGTGCTTATGATGCTGGAAGTCCTCTCGAAAATTAAAACTAAGATGTGATCTAAAAAGCGTGGCTGTAAAGGGTATTGAGTAGTGAAAGGTCATCCGTGTCTTACCCATTGTCCATACCTTGGGAGCTTTCGATTTTTTATATCAAATATGGTAGCATTATATTATTATCGAAGCCTCAAATATGGTTGATAAAGAAGGTACATCAACTTCTCCTCTTTTTCATTTTTGTATATTCAAATAATGACAATATGTAACTTCTCATAAATGGATGATGTTTATTCTACTAAGGTTTCAATAGTTTTGGGAAAAAATATCACTAAGACTATAGCACATTTTGTTTCATGCTACTTCATGATAGTTTTATATTTTCAAGCATGAGTATGTAAAACACTTAAGTAGTATTTTGTTTTGGTTTGGAATACATGAAAAGAAGAAATTTGTATGGACTTTAATTGTCATAGGGAGAGATTTCTCGGTATATAACACTATTTTATTCTTTTGTTTGTTAGAAGGCTAACAGGCTAAATTTGATCAAGTTTCCTTGAGTAGGGAATTTCATTTGATTCCAGTACGTAGTGACTGAAAGTAAGAATTCAAGTGTACAAGATATATTCAGTTCACTCTATGATTTTCCTATGGCTGCAATTCTAGAGGAGGTAATGCAATGGCTTTGTGTTACACATATCTGTTTAACATTTTGGCCTTAAGATCAATAACTTTTTTAATCCCAAAGAAATGTTATGTACTCCGTAGCATTTTGCCTTGGGTATTTCTTTGTTATGTTCTTTTTTAGCTATGACTTTCTCTTTTGGAGGATTTTTTTTTTGTTTTCTTCTCTCTTTCGGTTTTTTTTGACTTTTTTAAATTTATAGTAATCATATGAGAAATTTACTTAAATAGGACTAAAACATAATGACTTTCCCAATATAGGACCACATGTTTTTATTTCCCAATGTAGGACCTTTGGTCATTATCAAGTAGTCATTATTCAACTAAATATCCATCATTATTGGACATTATTCCTTCAACTAGATCATTATGAAAATATGCAGCATTGGCCGTATATATGTTGAGGTTCTAAGTGGAGTATACTCCTTTAATTGATATATGGAGCATTAACCGTAAATGTGTTCAGGTTCAAAGTGGAGAGCCTTTATTCTAGGGGTGAGCATGTACCATACCGTTACCAAAAATTCCCGAAAATTCCCGGATTACCCGTACCAAATTTTACCGAACCGAAAAATCCCGAATCCAAACTGATTTTTCGAGCTGGTATTTGGGAATGGGAATTGACTCTGTCCCGAACCGAATTTCCCGTACCGAACTACTGTGGCAACTAGCAAATATATATATATATACATATATATATACACACACACACATATATATATATATATATATATATATATATATATAAAAGTCCAGTCCACTGGTCCAGCCAAATTTGGCCATTTGGGAATGGGAATGGCCTAATTTTTTAAATATTACTCCGTATATGTATAACATATATTGAAGTCCAGTCCAGCCAAAGCCCAAAACTCCCTAGCCCAGTAGCCCTCCTATTTGCTATTTCCGTTCCAGATAAGCGGAACTGTGGAAAAGTGCCAAACTCTCAAACCCAAGCAGTAGCACGAACGGAAGTCGCCGAGAGAGAGGCCAGAAGGAAGTTGCGGAGAGAGAGACGCCGTCGCCCGCCTGCACGTTCAACTGCTGCTGCCCGCCAGTCACCGAGAGAGAGACGCCGCTGCCCGCCAGACGCCACCTCGCCGGAAATTCTCCAGCCTCCAGGTGCCAGAGTCCAGGTACAGAGGTAAAAAATTACTAATTTCAGAATTTCTTTAAGAATTTTATATTTTGTTATGTGTAAATATGAAAAATCTTTAATCTTTATAAATTTATGGTATGAATTTGTTATGAATTTTTGTTGTGAATTTGACAATTTGTTATATGAATTTGTCATGTGAAAAATTGAAATTTTTATTTAAACTTTTTGCTAATTGTTATGAATTTGTTGTGAAAATCTGAAATTCTTTTAATTTAGAAATATGAAGATCTGTTTTTTTTTGGAAATTTAAAGTTTGTACTGGCTACATTTTTTCTTTATAATTTTGTACTGGCTCCATTTTAGATAGCCTCTGCTCCATTTTTTCTTTATAAATTTGTATTGGCTACTGCTTATTTGTCATGAATGGGCAGAATTATGGCTATGCCATATTTATGATTTCCACCCATTTTTTTGCTACTGTAATTGGTAGTTTGTTTTTGGGAAAAGTAGGCTTTCCTTTACAAATCCTTGTTGTTTTTTAAAAAAATACTTTGTTTAAAGTGATTGTTTAAAGAGAACCATAATTTATGCTATCAAATACTCCGTAGAAGAGAAGAAACTTGTCACCATAATGTTTTTGTGGGGCCTCAATAATGTAACAGAACATTCCCTTTGGCTAGTTCTCTCTCTACAGTGCTTATTTTTTCCTTTTTTGAAGCTACTGCTTTTGTAATGCTACTTGTGCTTTTGTAATGTTTTTTTTAATCTTTTGTACTACTGCTATTGCTATTTACATTTACAGTTTTTCTATTTAAGACAAATGTTTCTACTACTATTTTTATTACCAATTGTGTATTATACCTTGCTTGTTTAAAAAAATCCCGAAAAAATCCCGTACCGACATTATTTTTTCCCGAACCATACCGTACCAATATTTTGGGATCTGTAACGGTAAAATATGAAATCCCATACCAAACCGAAAGTTATGGTACGGTATCGGTACGGGCATAATCCCATCCTATACCGTACCATGCTCACCCCTATTGCCAAGTGGGGTGACAAGAAATTGATCTATTTATCAATCAGAATAAATCAGAGATTCTGAAAAAAGAGTGGGCTTGGTTCGATCACAGGGTAAAGGAGTCCGGAAGACAGATGGATGAAAAGGCAGCTGGTAAAGCTATGGAGCGGCCGCACTTGAAGAAGGAGAAAGACTACTCGCTGTTTAGCGAGCTGTTTACACATCATATAGAGTCGTTTGACTACATGATTGACCAAGGCCTTGAGACCATGCTTATGGCCATCAAGCCAGTTGAGGTATCCCATCAAGCCTCCGGAAGCAAGCTTAGAAATATCCTCTTTTGCATTCTGTCATTCATTGTTCTCTATACAAAATTTTATTTTGATGATGATTCAACTGGATTGAATGTTTAAAAATGTGTTTTTTCTTTGCCGGTTTTTGTGCTATTAACAATGTGCTGGTAGTTCAGGTCCATCAGTCCTTCACTTTTTATTCTCTTAAACTGAGTAGTTGCTTTAAGATTCTGCTTGTTTGGAAGTGTGGTTCTTAACTTAAAGCGTACTGTGGTTTGGGAAACCTGAATTATTCCCCCCTGAAAAGGAGCGTGGTTACAAGGGCCTTAATGATCCTCTGTATCCTTTTGAGGCAAGTATCTGCATCTACTTGTGATGTTAATTCATGTTTTCTCATAATGCATTGAGATTCTGAATTGATTGGTGTTATTGAAACAGTGTAGGCAAGCTAAACTTTCATATACAGGAAAGTTTGTTGTGGATATCTGCCTTCAATTTGATGATGGAGCTGTTGTAAGAGAGAAATTTAATCTAGGGCAGTTTCCTATTATGCTGAAGGTTTGTATCTTGTTCTCAAGCTTTCCCCCCTTCTAAGCTTCATAAAGAGAAACAGTTGATATACACCATAATTACCAATTCTTCACTTTGTAGTAACATGTTTCCAGTACAGTTATCTGGATCAGTTGATTCAATCCCCTTAATCAAATGTAGAATTTCTAAGCGGAGGCTTATATAATTGATTCTTACTAGAATATATATGATATATGGGGAAAATTTCAGAGTAGTTCTCAAACTAATAATTCTAAAGAGAGTGAGCAGATTTATTGTCCCTTGGTCCATTGCTATTCGCTTCTCCTTTTGCTCTTTTGGATATGTTTGGAAAAACGTTATTGTGGCACATGCATACGTTGCCATCTGTGTTTAATCGTACTTGTTAGCTGACTTCCTATTGAAAAACTGCACACATTTATGTATTTTTATTTTGTGTAGTCAAAATTATGCCGCTTGAGAACGGCTGACAACTCCCAAAAATTAGTACGTCTCAAGGAAGAGCCATCAGAAATGGGCGGGTAAGACAATTTAATGCACTCATTGGTGCACCTTCTCCAGTATTTGCATTTTTGTGTGCTGATGTGAATTATAAAGTATAACATTGAACAGTGGCTCAAATCGTTTCTGTTGCTAACTTTTTTGTTTAGATACTTCATTTTGAATGGTCTTGAACGTGTAGTTCGACTTCTAATATTGCCAAAACGAAACTATGTAAGTGTATTTTTATTCGTTGTGTGTATATTTTAGTCCAAAATGTTTGGAACTTATCAAATGTGACATGTGCTATCTAATTATTGGCATTTTTCTCTGGTGATGTTGATCTGGTTTGTGCATCATTTTCCAGCCAATGAGCTTGGTGAGAAATTCATTTCGTGATAAGCGAGAAGGGTATACTGATAAAGCTGTTGTGATAAGGTTATCACTTCTACTTTCTTTTCTTCATTTGATTTCTTTTTTCTACTAGAAGAAACACATGTAAAGTCAGTTCACATGTTCAGTTTTGAACTGAGTTGAGTAAGCATATTGTTGTATCTATTACTTGAGAAAACTTTTCTATATAAAGAGCTGGGATAAAAAATATGCTTCTTTTTGAATGCCTTCTTATTCTTGGGAATGAGGGAAGTCTCGGGAATTGATACCTATATTTGGGATCAAACATTGATGAGTAAAGAGAATATGTGGAATTTCAAGTTTAAAAAAGAATCTATTACTCAGAGTAGAGTCTTGGAGAGTTGTTGGTTAGAACTCTGACTTTGTTTTATTCTCCAAAACTCTATTTCATCACGAAAATAAAATGCTTAACTGAAGTATTACAACTCATAAAGAAACTTACAAAGTATTTAAAAAGAACCACTCATAGTAATTTTAGGAAACTAAGGGAGCATTTGGCTTGGATTAATTGAAAAGTTGATTCTGGATTTAGAATGAGGTGTATTTGAATGAGGCCAATATTTGGTTTCTAGAATATAGAATGATATTAGGCCCCGTTTGGTACACGGAATTCAAATTATGGAATTGGAATTGAGGACTTCAATTCCAATTCTCATGTTTGGTAGCACAAAAATTATGTGGATTTGGAATTGGTAGTGCAAAAAATGAATTGGAATTGGTGAATTCAATTCTATGGAATTGAATCCCATGGAATTTTAATTCTAATTCAATTCCAATTCCATCAATTCCTTGTACCAAACGGACCCTTAATTGTGTAATTGGTTGGTGATTTAAAAACTAGATTAGTTGTGTATTTGGTGCAAGCTTTGGAGTTGTTGCGATGGTGGCGTTGAAGGTTTCCATTGTATTGTCCAATTTCTGGACAAATGATTACCATAGTTTGTAAGGCGGCAAGGCGAGGCGAGGCACCAATGTACCTTAATATCGCCTAGGCGACATACATACATCATACACACATACCTACACACATATAGGTCTTATACATTTTAAGGAAGCTTGATCGAGACAGAGAAGACCGAGAGAGAGAAGATAAGTTTAAGTCTATTAGGCTACACTAAAAGAAAATGGGCTGCACTAAAAAATGAGTTTTTTCAAAATTTTAAAGGGGCCCAAGGCATCAAGGCGAGGTAAGGGAGGAAAGGCGACGCCTAGGCGAGTGCCTGATCGCCTTAGGGTTTTCTAGGCGAGGCAAACATACAAGGTGTCCCAGTGACAACGCCTTATCGCCTAGGCGATGACTTATAAACTATGATGATTACAAAGACCAAATATCACTCTAAATCGACTTCAAATTACCCATGAGGACTAGATATAAAACGTAAATGTTATGCTCCCTTGTGTAAGTATGTGTCACATGGCATTGCATTTTGGTGAGAGAGGGATAGATGTTACTCATGTGAGAGAAAGAAGATACAACAAGATAGTAGAGCCTTGGAGAGTTTTGACTTGAACATTTTCTATTTTTATTTAATTTTGTACAAGACTGTACTTCCACAGTTACATAAGTGCAACATCAGGATTTTCACGCTTTCCATAAAGTAATTCTTTAATATCTTCAATTATATTTTGTTAAAAATTATAAAAAGTTGATACTACGAAGGGTATATAAAGTTGAATGTAACAAGATTCCATATGTCTATATTTTCCTAATGTATAAATCACAAAAGATAATGAAATGTGAATGGATAGTTTAAAGCCATCCCTAGTTTCATGTGTTTAAGAAAGGAGGAATTACAATATTTAATCAGAGGCTTACAAGTCATAGTGAAATTATTGGAAACCAACTACGAAAACTAATTTAGAGTAACCTAAACTATAAGGTATCTATCACTCAAAATAATAATGGGTTTGTCTCAAAATAATGTTCCATTTTTTTAAGGAAAGAATTGCATGGCGCATTCCGTGCAATTGCATCTTTCTTAACAAATTGTGTCGATTACAATGTGAAACCTTATTTTGGGATGGAGTATGAAACTAATACTAATACTACTCTAAAGGAAACTAATACTTTTGAAAATTTGTTAATACTGCTATTACTAATAGTAGCAGCAATGGCAGTAATCCTAAGTTAATACTCCCTCGTCCCCAAATTTAAGTCACTTTTCATTTTTGGCTTCCGAGAAATAAAGTGACACTTCACACATTTCCTTTTAAGGAAAAGAATGCAATATTTCTCTCTTCTAAATAAATTCTAACCATGTTTTTTTACTCTTCAACACTTTTCTTAAACTCTGTGAACCCAAAGAGTGACTTTAATGTAGTGGTGGAGAGAGTATTATACAATTATGAAGACTCCGCTTGTTAGGCTATTTGAGCCTGTCTATGAACCTTAGTTTCTTTGAACCCATCCACGAGCCAGTACTAGATTGGTATGTTTGGTTTGGTTATTCATGCAAAATGTTGGGAGTTGCTTTGCACCTACATGTGGGAATACATTGTGTTTGTTGTTGTTGCTCGGAGCTAACTTGAACATCTGATTCAGAATCCTATATTTCGGTCATCCTTACATATTGAATCTTTTTTCTGTGAGTAGCAAAGGATTTTGTGACTTCGAACATTGCAATTCTTACCATTTATCTGCCTTTGATATGATGATAGCTTGGGATATCTACATCATTCCATACCAGTTTAGTGGTGCACTATTGTTCTTGCTAGGAGGAGTGTAGGATATATCATATATGAAAATAAATGCGGTCCTACATGCTAAATTTCATTCTTTTCTTTAAAGTGTGCTTGATACTTGAAAGGCCTTCTGGGTAAATCTGGAAGGAATCAAGGGCGTGATGGCTTAGATTTGACAGATAATAAGCAATATAGAACTTTAAAGGTGATTATGTTATTTACAAAGCTTACTCCTCAGTATCCATTATGGGCAGTCACTGCTTTTCTAGATTCTCATCTGGAATATTTTGGTTATCTGCTTGAATGCAACATTTTTCATCCGATTACAATTGTTCTCCTTTTGCTTCCAGATGTGTAAGAGAAGATCAATCTGCGGTTTCAATAAGACTGTATTATCTTATTAATGGAAGTGCGAGACTTGGATTCTGGTAAGGCTTCGAGAAAGTAAAAAACTAGATTTTATGCATGATGAATATGGAAACCTTTATCAGTATGTGTCTTTTGTTAGGATACAAGGAAGGGAATACTTGCTTCCTGTTGGTGTCATATTAAAGGTATAAGTTATTGACTATTAAAATGCTTTATTATATGTTCTGTATTCCAGAGCTTCATATCTCAGGCTGCTGTACACTTTTAGGTTAGGTTGCATTTTGGGTGGATTTCTCGCGCTTGGGGCTTTAATATTTAGTGTTATTTGATCTGGACTGTAATGCCCATCCGATTGCCTTCCCAGCCCCCACACACACACACACACCCCAACCCCATTTTTGTGGTATGGTAGACAGGTTATCTAATTCCAAAGAAACAATAACAGTGCTTCTAAATATTAATCTTTCATAATTCTTTTTCCTGAAATGCTTTTCAAAACATGTCAATGAACAAATGCATCCTACTCCACATTGCTACAGTAACCTTAATTATTTACGCTGCGTCTTGCTCAATTTGAGCATGTATCCCTGCACCCCCACTTGAGTCAACCACCTACCCTTCTTTACACCCAACCCACCCCATGCTCCAGAAGTGTCTCCTAATATGCCCAAATTTCACTTTGTGAGACTTTGGCCCCATAGCCAACTTTATCAAACTTTCTGTGTCACTTTTGTCAGCCCAACTCAGTCTCTATTTACAGATAAAGCAGATGTGTAACCACTTCCATTTTCCCATTTCAAAAGAAAAAAGGCCAATGGTCATCAGAAGTGTAAACAGATACAAATTTTTTTTCTTATTGGATACTTTCACTTCATCATGATGCATTCGTTACCTCATCTTAATTTTCCTGGCAGGCCCTTGTTTTTTACACTGCATCTTGCTCACCTTGAGCCTGCAGCCCTGTATCCCCTCTTGTGTAAACAACCTGCCCTTCTTTACATCCAACTCACTTCGTGCCCCGAAAGTGTCAACCATGGTTTCACTTTTCTGTGATACCTTGACCCCATATCTCAGCTTAGCAAACTGGCTCTGGTTTGTTTTGCTAGCCCAACTCTCATTAGTCTCTATTTACAGGTTAAGGCCTCATTTGGGAACATTGTTTTCAATTAGCCTAAATGCTTAGGGTTACGAGTATTTTTAACGATGCAGATTAACTTTGAATATGCTAAAGCTAAATGCTGCCATTAGATAACCTTTTTAAAATGCTAAAGCTAAAGGCTGAATTTGTTGCCAAATGGGCACAAATCAGATGTGCAAACACTCCCATTTTACAATTTCATAAGCAAAAGGCTAACTAACAACCTAACAGTCATCAGCTTTATTGTTGGAATTTAAGAAGTGTAAATGGAACTAAAAAAGTGTTTCTAATTGGATATGTGCATATCATCATTTTGAGCTCCTTACCTCATCTTCATTTTCCTGGCAGGCCCTTGTTGACACAACTGATCGTGATATATATGTCAGCTTAACATGTGTTTATAATGAGATTTATGATAAAGCAAAGGGAGCTGTTGGCACCCAGCTTTTTGGAGAAAGGGCAAGCATTATCTTGCATGAAGTTACAAGCCTTTCTCTTTTTACACGTAGACAGTGCCTCCAACATATTGGTACTTGTTCTGACTAGCCACCTTGAGTATAGTAGATACACTGTGAATATTGTCTGAATCAAATCAATTATATTCTGTAGGTGAACATTTTCAACCTGTTATGTCTGGTATGGAAGAGGAAACTTATTCTGCTGTAAGTCACACTTTTTGTTTTGTTTTCTTTGGTTTGAGTTGTTAACATGTGAAGACAATCAAATCCTTACTTATTGTATCTACTAGTTTTCAGAAGACAATCACACAGCCCCTTGCTTTTTGTATCTCCTCTTTTTTACAGGTTGCTGAAGCTGTGCTCCGAGACTACATATTTGTCCACTTGGATAACAACCATGATAAGTTTAATTTGCTTATGTTAGTTCCCTTCAAAGACTGCATATCTTTTACAAAATACTCCCTCCGTCCTAAAACTAGCTTCTCAATTTCCTTTTCGGGGCGTCCTAAAACTATCTTCCCGTTTCTAAAAGTAGCAACTTTTTACACACTAAATGATATTAATACCCTCAAATCATTTCCAATCCCAGTCCACCCACATTAACCTCATATCTCACCATCCCTCTTCTCAAAGTTCTTTCCAGAAACTCTTCTGCCGCCACCACCATCACATCTCTTCATATCTGCACTATCTTCCCTTTCTCCTCTACATTTCCTTTTTTTCTTTCTTCTCTATCCACTCTTTGATTCTCCGAATTGAAGGTCCCCATCAGTATGCGACAAGAGAAGATGACAACAATCATTATCGGAAGCGGATTTAGCAAAATCGAAGGTCGGTCTAGATTGATGTCCGACCAGTGACCAACAAAATCAAAGGCGGGTCTGGGGAGCGAATACAATGATTTGCCGTTGGATTTGACAATTCCAAATGCATGTTCTTCCGATCCTCTTCTCTTTGCCTATCATCATCATTTAAAGATTTTTTTTGCATTTGGTAAAAGGATTAATATGGTGATGGGATTGTAAGCATTTATCTAACAAACAGTGATTTCAAACTCTTTGATTTTCCATGGTCCGATCAGATCTGTGATTTTGATTTTGTTTTTGATCCAATCCGTTTACTTTTCGATAATGAAGACTGCGAGTCAGTGAAGCAATCATGCTTGGAGGAATATTTTGGGACTCAACTCAATTTTTACGCTCCCTTAAAATCAAGCCCTGGTCAAACCGGGAAATTAATTTTAGGACGGAGGGAGTATTGTTTTTGGTTTTGGCATGCACTGTTTAAATTGAAGGTGTTGACATCATCCTCTATTTTAGCTTCATGTTGCAGAAGCTTTTTTCTCTAATAGATCAAACATCTGTTCCGGACAACCCAGACTCCTTGCAGAATCAAGAAGTTTTGCTGCCTGGTCACTTGATAACAATATATCTAAAGGTCTAAGATCTTCCCTGGTTTCATTTGAAAAAGTATTACTAGGACTAGGTGAACTTTAATCCAATAAGTATATTAAGGGCTTGTTCTTTTGAGTTGCAAAAATTAACTTCAAACATTTTTCATCTACTAGTTTTTTACAACTCCAAATTTTTTGTAGTTTTGTAATTTTTCAAAATTATGTTTCTTTCTTGATTGAGATAACATTAGATTATTTGTATCAATTTTTGTTTAAAAAAATTACTAAAAAATGTTGCTACTTTGTACACTATTAATGGTACATGGGTTATTGGCATGTAAATTAATAAATAAAATTTGTACTATTGATATTGATTTAATAAGTTAAAGAAATAAATTAATAATAATAGTAAGTATGAGACAAAAAAATAATGCATTGCTATACATGGTTTGAAACAAAAATAGTTTAACATACGAAAAAATAGATAATTACAAAAAATGGAATATAAATTATTCCAATAAAATATAAAATTTCCAAACTATAAAATTTCCAAAAATATAATACTCATTGCATTCTTTCCAAGTTTTTTAATGGTTTCCATTTCCAACATTTTCAATGCTTTCCAGTTTCTTTCAACTTCTTCCCATTTCTTCCAACTCCTTCCAAAATCTCTCAACTCCATTTTTTTCAAATTACTTTGAGTTTCTTCCAACACCTAATTTTTTCCTACTCCTTCGAGTTTCTTCAAACATCCAACTCTGGAACTCCAACCCAAAAGAACAGGCACTAAGCGTTGCTTGATCTTGATTGATGTTGTAACTGTGGGATCTGTACATTTATGTCTGTTGTATTTGGTTTTTTGGTCTTGTAGATTAAGATTAGTAAAACTGTTCCTTTTATCCGTGGAATACCCCCATGGTTATATATTAACTGTAAGAAATGTTTGGACCAAAGAGTTCCATTTTCCCCCTTTTAAATTGACCTTTATTATACTTAGTTACATCTCTCTTCAGTAAATGTTTACAAAAGAACATTTCATAAATCTTCGAAGCATAAAAAACAAAACTTAGTTTATTATTCTACCCAAATTTTCATTCCCGCAATGTCCCAGATCTCTTGCCTTACTCGCCTCCCAATCACCAGTTTTGTGTGTGTGTGTGTGTGTATATATATATCTCTGTTTGTGTATCTGTATATGTGTGTATGTATGTATGCCCCTCTAAGGCTGGACTTTTCTTTTCCTGTGGTATATTTTTCAGGAGAAGCTTGAAGATTGGTTGTTGAGGACAAAACAGTCACTCAAAGATCAAATTGCCAGCAAAGCCGAGGACTTTCAGTTTATCCGTATGTTCATTTTCACTTTCAACTCCTTTTGTCTTAAAGGACATTGCCCAATGGGCATAATATTTTATTTTCTCTTTGTATGAGAACTGAACATTAAAAGACTTTCTGATTTCCATTTTTGAGTATTGGTTATTTATCCTTTTTCTAGATTTGTTTGTCAAGTTGTCAACTTGTCTCCCTCACTCTTCTATCATTATACCCACCAACCACCAAACTCTAATCGTAGTTAGGAATGCTCTTAGATAGCTTAAATAAGTAGTATCTAGGACATTTAAGTATTGAATCATCACGGCATACTATTTTTACTTCCTAAGACTTCTCTCTTCACACAGTATTAGAGTTTTTATTGTAAATTATGTGGCAATAAGATTTTTTTTAATGATCTTACTGGTGGTCTGTGTAATTCTTTTCCTGCCTCTTTTTTCCCGTAGTGTTTTCAGTACATCACTGTTAAGCTCAGACATTACCCTCCACAATGCCCCACCCCTATAGATGCTTGCACAGCAGGGGCACACATTCAAGGCTTTTCAGATCTTCCGTTTTTCTCTTTTGCTCTCTTTTAGTAATCTTCCCACCAGAGTCTTTGGGATCCCACATTGATTATGTAGAGTGCGTGAGTGACTTACATGGGGGCATGGGGCTTAGGGCTATCTCAAAATTGGGAACATTTTTAGGCAAGTCTAGGTGTATGTGCCTGTGTGTTTTAAGTGGCTAATTATTATAAAAAATCCATACCCATGGCTCACAACAAAGTGTGGCAAGAAATATGTAAGTTTTCTCACCCTAACACTACTTATTATAGCCAAGCACTACCGATATCATTCTAACTAAATTCCTAAGGTAAAGGTTGGTAGAAGTTACATGATAATTGCCATGCTCACATGTTTTTGAAGACATTTATAAGTAAAACAATGGCGAGTGCAAAATCAGCTTTCAAGCGTAGGCTTTTGCTTGGTTGAATCTGAGATTAGTGGTTAATGTATATAGGAACTGGGGGTATTGTTAATTTTACACTAAATCTGTTGCAGTTGCTGATGTGAAGAAAGTTTTTGAAAAAAATGGTCCGAGACAGATCACTTTAGCTATTGAGAATATGTTGAAGACTGGGAGATTGGCCACACAATCTGGTCTTGATTTGCAGCAGGTATCGCTAATGCATGTGATATGTGAAATGTTTAGTGTAACAGTGGCAAGTTGTTTCATATGGAGTATTACTGCTCATGTATATGTTTGTGTGATTTAATAACCACTGTATCATCCTTCAAAGATTTAAGTTCCTCTAGGTTGTTGTATATAAACTCCAGTCTACTGTTCAACAATGTGAAATGCTGAAAGGTTTTAGATCTATTTTAAGATGCTCACTATGTTTTTTTTGGCACTTTATCAGTGACTTTTTTCTTGATTATATCACCATCTAGGTTGTACAGGCTGTGTAATTGTTGATTTGTTAATTCCTCCCCTATTCCTTGCCAGCAGATCAATATGAGTACACATTCTCAAATTTTTCTGAGCTTGAACACTCAAAGTCTAGTAACTTGCAAGAAATGAAGTTTTTCTAGCTTTTTTGTATAATTTCCATTCTACTGTTCAACAATGCTGACATGCTGAAAGGTTTCGGATCTAATTTTAAGATGGTAAATTTTTTTTTCTTGGCACGTTGCATGCAACATTTTTCTTGAATAATATGGTCATCTAGGGTTCCCGAGTGGTGTAATTGTTGTTTTGTTAATTCCTCTCTCTATCCCTCTTTAGTGAGATCAATACGAGTATGCATTCTCGAATTTTCCTTATCTTGAACACTCAAAGTTTAACACTTTGCAATGATATTTTCCTGGACATGTTTTGTCTTGTTTTGCTAACCTATTGAAAATCAAAATCTGGTTGTTAGAGAGCTGGAATGACTGTTCAGGCAGAAAGGATAAATTTTCTGCGATTCATTTCACATTTTAGAGCTGTTCCTCGAGGTTCTGCCCTTGCTGGTCTTCGTACTACCAGTGTGCGGAAATTGTTGCCCGAGTATGTAGTTATATTGAAGCCTGAAGGATGATTTTTTTTCTTTTTCCCTGGCATGGTATATTCAATCTTTGTGCCATTTATTGGTATCTTTTTCTAATATATAATTTTCGTTGTGGTTTCTATTATATACAGATCATGGGGTTTTTTATGTCCTGTTCATACACCTGATGGGGAATTATGTGGATTGCTAAACCATTTAGCTGCTGCTTGTCGTAAGATACTTATCTTGATTTTGTCTATGTGGCTATGTTTCAATAGCTTCTTTTCAGCCTTCATTAGCCATTCACTATAGCCATTTCTTGCTGAGTGATACACATTTGATCTGCAATTTTCACAAGCTACTTGGATGGAGACCTAGTCCATAGTTTCTTAGCAAACCATGGGAAGATAGTATTTTGTGACAAGTTGCTATCCTAAGCTAGTACAAGTATACAACTCCTATTCATTATTTCATTCTTCATTTATCTGTGCCTAGGGCTTTGCACAGTTGATCAGGAATGTGTTCCATATGATTTGTGTGAGTTGAAGATTTTTTTTACATGTACAAAATAGGTTTAGGGATGTGAATCATGTGATGCGACTTGTAGGTTTTCTCCAGGCCTCCAGCTGATTCTATTGCTCTATTGTTAAAATATAATCTTTTAATTTACTTGTTCATGTTATAGTGCAGTACTGCAGTTAGAGTTAACAGGTTTTTCACATGATCTTTCTATGTGATGACAGTGTTTTGGTTATAAACATGTTTGTTTCACAGGTATAACCTCATATTATGATTCCAAAGGAAACATCAAAGACTTTCGCAGGATGAGAATGTCAATCATAGATGTGCTAAACAATATTTGTTTTATGAAGTCAGCAATGCCAAAGCTTCCCAAGGCAGGCCCTCCTGAACTACTTACTGTTCTTCTGGATGGCCGTGTTGTGGGTTATGTACCATTGGACCTTGTTGAAAAAGCTATCACTCATCTGCGAAGACTAAAACTATCAACTGTATCGCCGGTTTGTTACCATCACCTGGCATTGAAATATTTTCCTGTTTAATCTCTTACACTTTATTCTCATATGGACACCTTGCAAATCAGATTCCATTTGACTTGGAGGTGGGCTATATACCTCTGAGCATGGGTGGGGCATATCCTGGTATATACCTGTTCACATCTCCTTCTAGATTTATCCGACCAGTTAGAAACATCTCCGTTCCTCCTCAAGATGACAATGATATTGAACTGATTGGTCCATTTGAACAGGTTAGATTGGAATTCTCATAATATATTTGTGAAAAGAAAAGAAATAGTGCCTGCTGTTTCTAATCGTTCGATCTACAATTTTTTAA